ACAGCCTTTAGACCCTGTTTTCTCCCCCTTGCCTCCCCCCTCCCCTGTTTCCCCACTGGCTGGGTACTCCAGGTTCACAATCTTATCAGAAGGTTTACATTTGCTATTTACTTGTTAATTTATTTGTTATCTGGTGCCAGTCAGGAGTCATCCTGTTGTTTCCAAGATGTCTCGGTGCTCTCCTTGTCCTATTGATATGGTGATTTTCTTTAAAGTCAACATCGTTAAACAAAGAGCACTGGGGGATGATGTCAGGCCTTCCCAATGTCTCTCCAGGCCCTTCCTCGGGCATGACATGGCTTGTTCTCTGGTTTGCTCTCGTGCAGGATATTCTTGCAGTGTGTTTGACAAAATATACATATATACACCTATATACAGAGCGTGTTCCTAGGAAGGTTCGTCTATAAGATAAGTGATGTAAACTTATCAGAGATCTTCCCCAAGTTAAGTAGAAGGACTCCCAAAAAGAACTATGATAGTGGAGATCATAAAAATAATCATAATCATATCATGATAATCATATCATAAAAATAATATTACATATACAGCGTTACATATACACTCTTTTATCATATCTTAGGAGATCCTACTTGTGGCATCTAACTGTCCTGCAATTCTCTTTATTGCACTCTTTGTATAATTTGTACATCTCCATTGATTATAACAGATGTAGTTAACCCAATCTACATTCTTGTTGATTATCACCCACCAGGACAGTGACTCAAACCCTGCAACAGTTTGATTTCTTGCCTTAAAATCATCAGGGACAACAAGAAGAAAAAAAGTTTAAATCCTTAGCTTGCCCACATACCAAACAATACTGATATGTAATGATGTTTGTCACAAGAGATACATAAGTATTTACACCAAATGCTGCACTCATCAAATCAACATTTCTAACAATTACAAAAGCCCACATTTCTGTCCTTGGATTCACAATTTTAAGGTCCAGCTGACTTCAGTTCTCACTGTGTTCGAGGGACCTTCTTAACTCTAGTATGATGTATCCACAATGCTTTTACTGTTGTGTGGGATGTTAGCAGCGCCTGGAACAGACCTACCCACCTTGGTTCCGGGGGCGAATCTGAAAGAGATTTGTTATACACATAATATCGAGCCATATCAAGGCCTTGGGCTCTAGTTCCTAGAACCAGTTTCTCTTTTTCTCAAAGCCATTCCTGTAGACTTATCACATGCTCAGTTAGTATTTCGCTCCCTACTTGGGTAGAAATCCCCTTTTGTACAACAAAAGGCCTTCTGTACAGTATTTTGAAAGGACTTAACCCCTCTTTGGCTCTAGGTTTTGTTCTGGTACTAAGGAGAGCCAAAGGCAACAACTGTGGTCAGGATAGTCCAGCTTCCTGGCCCAGTTTTACAACCTGTGATTTAATTAGATAGTTCATCTTTTCCCCCTGACCACTTGCTTGTGGTCTGTATGCGATGTGCAATTACCAATTTATTCCCAATGCTTGCTGACCTGTTGGACAATCTCTGCAATAAAATGAGTTCCCTGGTTGAAGGGTATTGTTGCAGGACACCCAAACCTTGGAATAATCTCCTGCAAAAGTACCTTGGTTACTTCCTTGGCTCTATTGGTCCTGCAAGGGAATGCTTCTGGTCACCCTGAAAGGGTATTGGTTAGAACTAGCATATATCAAAACCCTCCTTTTTCCTGGCAGTTTGAAAAAAAATCAATTTGCAATTGTTGTCCTGGAAGGTTCCCTTTCCAACAAGCCCCACTTGTACCCTGTTCCTGGTACTAGGATTGTACAGTTACTTTCTGGTGTCTGTACCCGCCCATGTTTTATTATGTTCCCTTAGAACCAAATTCTATACAACACTAACGGGCACAACAGTGTGTCCATCTGGGTATGCACCCATCTGTCAGCTTGCTCTCTTCCCTTCATTCATTAGATTCCTATCCTTCCTAGAGTACCTTATAGGTTCTGACTAAGGTTCAGATATTTCAAGTTTACCGTCTGGAATTAAAGCCGTTCACCAATTTCTTTTCCTTCAGCTGCCTGTTTTGCCAACTGATCCACCATCATATTCCCAGTTTCCTGTACAGTGTCACTCTTCTGATGTCCTTTACAATGTATAACAGCCATGATGTTCTTTGGTAGATTTACATCATGCTGAATTTGTTTTCCCTGTGTGTAAGCAATCCTTGCTCTTTCCAGATGGTACCACGAGTGGGTACCACACCAAAAGCATATTTAGCACCTGTCCATATATTTAAGGTTCTTGTCAAGGCAGTTATTTCAGCCTTCTGAGTGGAAGTCCCCACAGGTAATGGTTGTGCTTCAGTTACCTTGTCAGTAGCAGTTACTGCATGTCCTGCCTTACAGTTTCCTTGTCTTCACAAAACTGCTTCCGTTGATGAATCCAGGACTCCTCAGCATCGTCCAACGGTTCCTCCTGTAGGTCTGACCAACTGGCACAGACAGTCTCCATGCAGTCACACACTGCTGGCTTGGAGGCAGCTCTACGTTGGTGTTCTGGGTGTTCAGCAAGTTGCTTCCTTCTCTTTGATCAGTTGTGCTTTCTGTTGAGAAACTTGATAGCCATTTAAATCAAGAAATTCAGCAAGCTCACAGTCCATTGCACACAGTCCTTTGTTACTGTAGCATCCACGTACTGCAGTAAAGTTCCACTGTGAGATGGTGAACCCAAATCTCAGGCTCACGAGTTGACCAGTTCTCAAAAATCATTGGGCTGTTCTCACAACCCTGGGTAACACTGTGCAGGTTAACTGAATTATTATTAATTTTTTTTTTTTTTCTTCTTTCCATATTTGAGTTTTCCTATTCAAAGGCAAATAATTTTAGACTTTCTTTTGCAAAACCAGGCTGAAAAAGGTGTACTTCAAGTCCAGAACGGTAAACCCCACCTACTTATTCCTTAACTTGGTTAATAAAGATATACACCATGGGCTGTATATATTCAACATTTCTATTAATTGCCCTCAAATCTTGTACCAAACTATAGCTCTTGCCATCCAATTTTTCATTTGCAAGATTGGGTGTTGTATCTGGATTTCTATCCTATTAATAATCCAAAATCCAAAGTTATTTATTATTTCTTTTATCCTGCTACAATCTTGTATCCTCAAAGGGCATTGCTTTACCCTGGTTGGGCTGGCTCCCATCTTTAACTTAACTTTCATTGGGCTGCATTTTTGGCTCTGCCAGGCATCCCTGATGCCTGCAATCCTGTGTATACCCAATGTAGGATTTACGTAACTTCTGGGAGTACAGCATTGCTTTTCCCAGTTTGGGTTAAAGCCAGACTTAAAATTTTCAGTCCATTGGTCTTGCTTGACAAGTAGTTCCAATCGTCTCTACTGAATTTAATGTCTACATTCAACTATTCTAACATGTCATGCCCAAATAATCATTTTGGAGAACCTGGCATGTACAAGAATTTATATATTCCTACTTGTTCTCCTAGCCTGTATTTAATTGGTCCGAAAAAAGTAAACTTCTCTTGCCAGTGGCTCCTACAACTATTACAGAAATCATCTACGGGTAATAATTCTTGATGTAGCACACAGTTAAGAGGCACCCGTATCAGAAAATAAACCTCTTTACCCTGCTTCCCCAGCTGCTTTTGGTCCTGTGGGGGTGGAACTCTCCCTGAGTCCTTCCAGGCTCCCCTTACCTCTTCTTCTAGGTAAGGAAGTTACACCTTGCTCAACTTTGCCTTCCTCAGCTTGTTTTTTCCAAACCCTTTTCACTTTCCAAACTTTCATCATCACAGACATTACTAACATTATATTTCAGTTTCACCCCCTCCTCTCCCCAGGCTTCCAGTGCTCACACTGGGATATCTGGTTTCCCCAGCTCTCTACAGATGCCAGCTATTCTCACTTCGAATGTCCCGTCCCATTCCCATTCACAAGTAACACACCCTTCACAGTTACAGCGGGAGGCTCCAGCCCCCAGTTCTTTCTCCTACTCCAAGTTGTTCTTACAAGCTGCAGTGGGGGTGTGTGCAGGGGATGTGTTCTCGCGCCGGCCCAACTCTAATATCCCAAACTCACTGTTTTCCTTAACCTTTTTGCCATTTTTTTGTTTGTTTTTCCACAATTCCACTATTTGTACCCTCAACTGCAATTCCACATACCATTAAAAATTGCATTTCCGCATAATTTCCACATACCATTAAGACAGTTTCTCCCAGTGCCTTCAAAATCCACAAATGAAAGAACACAATTCCTCAACTTCCACAAACACCCAGCACTTGGTCTCATGATTAGGGTTCTCAATTATAAAACTAGTCCTGTTACTCCATTTACGTTCCTGGTTTCTTATTCAATATTTCCCCTGGTTCACCAACAATGTTTCTCCAGTGAGCCAAAATAAAACCCAGGGGGTCTTCTCGTATCACTTTAGACACCCCTTGTTCCATAACAGCCTCGTACATGACATAACATAACACTTTCAGGACATAAACATTTAACAATCACAAAAACAGTGACAATAATCAGTACAATTTATCCTCAGGATCCTTCCTCTCTGCCTCCCTCCAGAGCCCAACCTTCTCTCTGTATTCATTTCCCACACTTGCGTAGCTGCCAACCTCCTTCTCCAATAATCAACATATCAATGATAAACATCATTTTCATCCATGAGTAGAAATTCGGCCCTAGAAATTGATCTAAATGTTCTGCTACACTTACAGGATCTTCAGTTAAGGAATTCTTTTTGAAACTCCTAACTTCTCTTCTAGTAAAAACAGCAGGCGTTACCATACCCTATTTTCTTTTGACCTAAGTCTGCCTTAAGAGCATAAAGTGAAGTATTAGTAAGGTTAGTATTAGATAACTATCCCACTCCCTTTCCCGTGTCGCCCAAGTGTTGTTTATCGTTCTCTTCCGGTAATAGCTTACAACAGCAACCCTCCCTCAAGGCGTAGTGAGTGCTATTCCACGCCTATCCCTGTGCAGTCTCCTCCCACCTGTGGCCCTTTCCGGTGCTCTTTTTCCTGTCTGCCGTTGCCATATCCTTTGCTGACATCATCTCGTGCCGCCATATTGAAAAGGGAAGCAGCCTGTACTAGCTCGGCTGCCGTAGCGTGGAACGCTGGTTTCCATCGTCTCCGCCTCTCTTGCCGCGGTCGAGGCCTGTTCCTCATGAGGTCCCCTGGCTGGTCGTAGCTGCGGTGTGCATAGGGCCGAGGTGAGAGTGGTTGTCGTGCCTTTTCCGGACTCCTGAGCTGTCATCAAGTCTCTTTCTGGCGGGTCTTTGCTCTTCTGCCGCCTCCGGCCATGACTTCTCTCACCCAGCGCTGTTCCGGTCTGGTGCAGCGCCGGATCGAGGCTTCCCGCAGCGCTGACGACGAGGAGCGAGGAGCTAAGGGTGGCCCAGTGAACGAAGGCCGCCGGGACGAGCTGGGCGACGACGAGAAGGGAGATTCCAAGCAAACACGATTCACTCTCATGGAGGAGGTGCTGCTTCTGGGCCTTAAGGATCGTGAGGTGCGGTGAGGCTGGGGCGGGTTTAGCCTTTGGGACTGAGGGAGTCCCGGTGGTGTTAGTGGCCCCGAGGAGAGGGGGCTTGAGGGGACGCTGATTATTCGGAGTCTTATGGAGGATATTGAGGAGGAAAGAAAACTCGTGGGAGGGGATTGGTGGTGCAGGAGGCTGGAAGGTGCAAGTGGCATGGGGGCAAGGAGGCTGCTGGGTGAGTTGGGGGGGATTTGGGGCAGGGATGTTGCTGGGGAGGTTGTGATGGTGGTAGAGGCAGGGGTGTGTGCCCCAACAGATTTTTGGAAGAGGTGGGAAAGGTGCTTGGGTGTTGGAGGAGAGGGAGCCTGGCAGAGGTTTTGGGATACCCTTTGGATATGGAGCTCTTGGGGGGGGTTTTTAAATACGTAGCAACTCAAGGAAGGCAGCGTGGGGGAAAGACAGTGATAAGGGTCAAGGCCTCTAGACAGCGTTCATTGTTGACTTGGCCTGAATAGACCTATGGTTGTTATACTTCTCTTGTAACTTACCTGTGGCTTTTATGTGGGAGATGTCTACTTTTATGTCAGATGTAGCTATATTGTACTTACGGGGCTTTAGGATGTTTAGCAGCCCTTTTTAGAAAGACTCTTTAGACTAATGTATGTGAAAAATGTCTTAAAATTTGGGGAGATACAATGTAACAAAAATGGGCCTTGAATCGTGAGTCAAAATGAACAAAATTGCATTTTTATGTAATTATAATTTTACTGAATTTATGACTTGTTTGTCATGGTACTGTGAATAACTAGGTATATTACTACTAATGAGGTAGTCAATTTTACATTGATTATTGTTTGGAAGAGTTACTCAATATATAAAACAAAAAAGTACATTGAAGAAATCCATCCTTATCAGGGGAAATAATTTAATGCGGTGAAGCATAATATAATATTGAAGTGACTTGCTTTATTTTTTGCTGTTGTTGCAAGTGAGCTGATGGAGACAAATGATTTGGATGGAAGTATCTTAAAGCTGTACCTGTTCATGAGGACAAAAAAAGAGTGGGAGGGAGAAAGCTGCTAAGTAATATAATTTTTGACAGTGCATTGCATCTAAAATAAATGTGCGGGATGATGATGAATACACTGAAGAGTAGCTTTCCTGCTTAATGCTCATTTTTTAATGTGTAACAGTACATCTCTGTGTGTATATATCTGCTACAATAACGTTCTTTATTTTTCTATGTGCTCTAGGTCATATTCTTATAATCCCATTATTTTTTTCAGGTGGACCTTGCCATTACATCTTGATTAAGTCAGTAGATTTTCACAATGATGTGTGCTTCTACCTATTGACTTCAAAGATGTGCCTATGCAGGTTTTTCTTCCAACTTACCTGAACAGTTGCAGGGAAGTATTAGATGTGCCAAGACAACTATCTGTCAGGATAGGAGGTCTTCATTTGAGGAAGATGGGATAGACTGGGTGGTCTTTGAGCCCAGATTTTCCATGAATGTGTGGTAAACCTGCTGAATTTGTGGATGTTAGACTGTAAAGATTTCAAATTAGGAAGTATTCTGTCTGCCTAGAAAGAACACAGAGCACAAGTGTTCCTAATATATCAAAAGAGCTGAGGTGCTCTCCATCATATTTGAAAAATCATGGCTGTCTGCTGAAGTCCCCTTTGACTGGAAAAAGGGAAACATTATGCCCATTTTTAAGAAAGGGAGAAAGCAAGACCCGGGGAACTATAGGACAGTGAGCCTCACCTCTGTGCCTGGGAAGATTGTGGAACAGATCCTCCTAGAAGCTATGTTAAGGCACATATGAGACAGAGGTGATTTGAAACAGCTAGCATGGCTTCACCAAGGGCAGATCGCGCCTCACCAATCTGGTGGCCTTCTATGATGGAGTGACAGCTTTGGTGGACAGGGGAAGGGCGGTGGATGTCATCTACCTGGACTTCTGCAAGGCCTTTGACATGGTTGCTCATCACATCTTTCTCTCTAAGTTGGAGAGGTGTGAATTTCAAGGATGGACTGTTTGATGGATTAGGAATTGGTTTTCTGGACACAGCCAAAGGGTGGCGATCAATGGTTGTGTCAGGATGGAGGCCGGTCACAAGCAGTGTCCCTCAGGGGTCAGTCTTGAGACCAGTGCTCTTCAGCATCTTTATCTATGACATAGACGATGGCATCGAGTGCACCCTCAGCAAGTTTGTGGATGGCACCAAGCTGAGTGGTGCAGTTGATACATTGGAAGGAAGGGAAGCCATCTGGAGGGACCTGGACAGGCTGGAGAAGTGGGCCCATGAAAGCCTAATGAGGTTCAATAAGGCCAAGTGCAGGGTGCTACACTTGGGTTGGGGCAATCCCAGGTCTTTATACAAACTGGGGGTAGATATTGAGAACAGCCCTGTGGAGAAGGGCTTGGTGGTGCTGGTGGACAAGAGGCTGGACATGAGCCAGCAGTGTGCTCTTGCAGCCTGGAAGGCCAACTATATCCTGGGCTGCATTAAAAAAGGGGTGGCCAGCAGGGAGAGGGAGGTGATTGTCCCCCTCTACTTGGCTTTTGTGAGGCCCCATCTGGAGAACTGTGTCAAGGCCTAGGGCCCCCAGTGCAGGAAGGATGTGGAGCTCTTGGAGCGGTTCCAGAGGAGGGCCACTGAGATGATCAGTGGGCTGGAGCAGCTCTGCTGTGAGGAAAGGTTGAGGGAACTGGGCTTGTTTAGCTTGGAGAAGAGAAGGCTCTGGGGAGACCTCATTGCAGCCTTGCAATGCTTGAAGGAAGCATATCAACAGGAGGGGGAACAGCTGTTTATGAGGGTGGTTAGTGATAGGACAAGGGGGAATGGTCTTAAACTGAGTCAGGGGAGGTTTAGGTTAGATATTAGGAAGAAGCTCTTCGCACAGAGGGTAGTGATGCACTGGAACAGTTTGCCCAAGGAGGTTGTGGATGCCCCATCCCTGGAAGCATTCAAGGTCAGGCTGGATGTGGCTCTGGGCAGCCTGGTCTAGTGGTTGGCGACCCTGCATGTAGCAGGAGGGTTGAAACTAGATGATCGTTGTGGTCCTTTTCAGCCTGGGCCATTCTATGATTCTATTAAATGTTAGTAATTAAAAAAAAAAAATCTAGCTTTGCACTGGTCTGCATCTAAATGATAAATCATCTAACTGTATTAAGAGCTGCCGTGGCACTTGCTAAAAATACTTCAGTATTTGTACTGAGAAAAGAACTGATTACAGTGACATGAGTATTCATGTCTAGCTTGAGATTTTGCAGTTGAAATATCAGACTAGATTGATGATGTCATCTCTAGGATGGGAGCTTAATGTGCACAAACTAGCATGTGCAGTTTCTGAGTTTTGTTGGACATGAATCAGTAGGGTTTGTGTTTAGCTTTTGTCTCCTTGCACCCATTTCTTTTATACTTAGTATAGCTCTTTTTTATTTTTATTTTTTAACTTAAAAAATGAATCTGTAGCTTTAAGATCAATTCTAGTTCTCTATTATTTTGATGATAAGGAAAACAAATTTATGCAATTGGGAATGCTTTTTATGAAGTTTTTTTACTTGCAATAGGATTGGTTCCCAATGGCATTTATGTGAGGCTTTTTCATGACAGCCAGCAATGAAAAGCAATAAAAGATCTTTAAGTATAATTGTGAAACTATGCGAAGTGTGTGTAAGGGAAAGATAAAAGTAGGTATACAAGTTTTAAGCTCAATTAAGAGCCAGTAAATCTAAAGCTGACAAGGCCTGTTTTATTTAAATGAGCATTAAATTATTTTATCCTGTTGGAATAAAATACAAGCCTTGAGTTGCTGTGAGAATGTTTCCCTAAAAATGCTTTCTCCCAGAAAAGTTACTGATAACTGTGTTGTTAACTTTGCTTTGAGGGTTTTGGGGGTAACTTTTTTCTAACCTTAAGCAGTGGTGAATATGGTATAACATGATGTAAACTGTATACAAAAAGCCTCACGTCCAAGTAGCCTCCGTTTATTATTAGGTTAGATATTAGGAAGAAGCTCTTCGCACAGAGGGTGATGATGCACTGGAACAGTGCATGTATTTATTATTTATTATTATCCATTTGTTATTATTATTAATTTATTATATATTTAATATATTATATATGCTATATACAATATTAATAATTATAATATAATTATTATTATTATATTATTTATTATTGTCCATTTATTTATTATTTATTTATTATTATCCATTTATACAAGTAGGTGGAAGAGCCTTTGCTCTTAGGAGAGGTTTACAGGAAGATTCAGAGAGTTATGGATAGATGAGTTAGTAGAATTACTGAAAGGCTTGGGTTGTAAGAAACCTTAAAGATGTTATAATTCCAACCCCCCTCATGCTGTGGACAGGGTTGCTGCCCACTAGATCTTGTTGCCCAGGGGCCCATCTAATGTGACCTTGAGCACCTTTGGGGATGGGATATATGCAGCTTCTCTGGGCAACCTGTTCCAGTGTCTCAGCCTTGTTTTGTGGGAGGGGTGCTCTAGCCCTCTCATCAAGTTTCATGGCCCTCTTCTGTACCTACTCCAATAGCTCCATATATTTCTTGTGCTGAGTGCCCCAGACCTGCATGCAGTACTCCAGATAGTTTCACGAGAGGAGAGCAGAGTAGAGGGGGGGCAATCACCTCCCTCACCCTGCTGGCCATCTCTCTTAATACAGTCTGGGATGCAGTTCGCCTTGCAGGCTGCAAGTGCACACTGTGTCAAGACTTGTCTTGTGTCAAGACTTTAATCCACCAGAACTCCCAAGTCTGTCTCTGCAGGGATCCTTTCAGTGAGTTCTCCCAGCTTATACTCATAGAATGGTTTGAATTGGAAGGGACCCTTAAAGGTCACCTATTCCAACTCCCCTGCAGGGAACAAGGACATCTACAGCTAGATCAGTTTGCTCAGAGCCTGGTCCAGCCTGCCCTTGTATGACTGCAGGGACAGGGCATCTGTATGGGAACAGCTGAGTCACAGCCTGAACCTCTGATTAATCACCTGAGGCGAGCCATGAGTCAGCCAGAGGAGCACAGGTGAAGGCAATTCACCTGTGCTGCCAGAAAGAGGGGAGCCAGGCTCCACCCCTCCTAGACCTATTTAAGAGCTGGCTACCAGAGGGGAAGGATCTCTTCTGGAGATCATCTCTCTTGGTGTTTTGTGGTGAGCTCAGCCGAAGGGTAAGCTCTTCCACTTATTCTCTTTTGTTATCGTTATCTACTTTGCCTAACTCTCTTGATTATATTGTGATTATAACATCTTGATATCTATTGATTATACAGCATCCATCACATCCCTTTAAAAAAAAAAAAAAAAAAAAAAAAACCCAGAAAAACTTGTTTTTCCTTATATCCAAGATAAATCTCCCCTCTTTTAGTTTGAAATAACTACCCTTGTCTTATCACAACAGACCCTGCTAGTCTAGCCCCTTCCTTCTTATAGCCCACCTTTAAGTACTGGAAGGCTCCTATCAGGTCTCCTTGAAGCCTTTTCCAGACTGAACAGCTCCAGCACTCTCAGCCTGTCCTCATAGGGAAGGTGTTCTATCACTTGTATTATTTTTGTGGTCCTCCTCTGGATGTGCTCCAACAGGTCCGTGTCTCATGTACTGTGGACTCCACATCTAGACCTGGTACTCTAGGTGAGGTCTCACCAGTGCAGAGTAGAAGAGCAGGATCACCTCCCTCAACCTGCTTACCATGCTTCTGATGCAGCCCAGGATACAGTTGGCTTTCTGGGCTGTGAGGTCACATTGCTGGTTCTCGCCTAGTTTGCCATCCATCAGTACCCTCAAGTCGTTTTTGACAGGACTGTGCTCAATCCTTACGTCTCCTAGCTTGTACTGGTAGTGGGGATTGCTGTGATCCAGGTGCAAGATCTTACATTTGTATTTCTTGAACCTTATGAAGTTCTTCCAGGCCCACTGCTCAAGCCTGTCTAGGTATCTCTGGATGGCATCCCATCCTTCAGGCATGTTTATTGCACCACACAGCTTGGTGTCATCCATGAACTTGCTGAGGGTGCATTTGATTCCACTGGTTGTCATTGATGAAAATTTTAAAGAGCACTGGTACCAGTACGGCCCCCCAAGGGATACCACTTGTCTCTGATCTCCATCTGGACGTTGAGCCTTTGACCATCACTCTCTGGGTACAATCTTGCAAACAGTTCTATGTTTATTGAACAGTGCACCTGTCAAATCAATATATTTCCAATTTGGAGAGAAGGATGTTGTGGGGGACTGTGTCAAAGGCCTTACTGAAATCCAGATAGAAGGATATCAGCAGCTCTTCCCTTGTGCACTGATGCAGTTATGCCATCACAGAATGCCACTAGTTTGGTCAGGCAGGGCCTGCCCTTAGTGAAGCCATGTTTGTTCAGTATCACCTCCCTGTCTTATGTGTGCCTTAGCATAGTTTCCAGGAGGATCTTTTCTGTGACCTTCCCTAGTACAGAGATGAGGTTTACAAGTCTGTAGTTCCCTGGGTCGTCCTTTCTACCTTTAAAAATGGATGTGGACAGGACAAGAGGAAACAGCCATAAACTTGAGCATAGGAAGTTCTGCACCAATATGTGAAGGAACTTCTTCACGGTAAGGGTGATGGAGTACTGGAACAGGCTACCCAGTGGGGTTGTGGATTCTCTTTCTCTGGAGATATTCAAGACCTGCCTGGATGCCTACCTGTGTAGCCTGCTGTAGGGGGCCTGCTTTGCAGGGAGGTTGGACTCGATGATCTTTGGAGGTCCCTTCTAGTCCCTACAATTCTGTGATTCTGTGACTTCACCTGACTGCTGTGACTTCAAATATCACTGAGAGTGGTTTGGTGACTATGTTAGTTAATTCCTTCAGGACTCTAGGATGCATCTCATTGGGACCCATAGGCTTATGGATGTTCAGGTTCTTCAGGTGGTTGCAAATTTGATCTTTGCTTACAGCAGGAGGGATACTGCTGCCCTTGTCCCTGCCTTCTGAACCATCCACTTGAGGGCTGTATAAAGAGCAGTCACCAGTGAAGACTGAGACTAAGATGTTGAGTATCTTAGCCTTTCTTGTCTGTTACTAGCCTGTCTGTATTGCTCTCTGGGGA